GCTATATATACTCAACTGCTTGCTATTACAATCATTCCGCTGCTCTTCTTCTCATTCCTGTTTAATTCTTCACATGGTATAGAGCTTCTTCGATCCTTGGGCCCACCTCAAAAATTTTTCTGCCCTGCACTTAGCGCGTTTCGCGCTCTGCCCTGCTGCCCGTCGCGGCCCTTCGTGGCCCCTTCGTGGCCCCTTAGCGGCCCCGTCACGGCCTCGCCCCGGCCCTGCACCGTCGCCCGGCCCTGCCTCGTCGTCCGGCCCTGCCCCGTCGCGGCCCCTCGTCGCGGCCCCCTGTCGCGGCCCCCCGTCGCGGCCCCCCGTCGCGGCCCCTTGTCGCGGCCCCCTGTCGCGGCCCCCCGTCGCGGCCCTCGTCGCGGCCCCCCGTCGCGGCCCCCCGTCGCGGCCCCCCGTCGCGGCCCCCCGTCGCGTCCCCCCGTCGCGCCCCCCCGTCGCGGCCCCCGGTCGCGGCCCCCCGTCGTGGCCCCCCGTCGCGGCCCCTCGTCGCGGCCCCCTGTCGCGGCCCCCCGTCGCGGCCCCCCGTCGCGGCCCCCCGTCGCGGCCCCCCGTCGCGGCCCCCCGTCGCGGCCCCCCGTCGCGGCCCCGTCGCGGCCCCGTCGAGGCCCCGCCCCGGCCATGCCCCGTCGCCTGTCGCGGCGCACCGGGGACCCGTGCACCGCCCCCCCCCCCCTTTTCCCGTCGCCCGTCGCGGCTCCCTGGGGGGCCGCGGGGCGCGCGTCGCCCCTTCTGCCGCCTGTTCTGGCGCCCTGGGAGGCCGTGTGTCGGCCCCCCCGTAATCCCCCCCCCCCCCCCCCCGTAACCTCCCTACCCGCCATCCCCCCCTGCCTTGTGTTAGGGTTTGGGGGTGGCAAGTAGGGGGTAACGGGTGTGTGGTCTCCCCTGCTCCTCCTCCTCCTCTGTCTCCCACTGCTGCAGCTGCCGCTGAGGGGGGTGGATGTGTGGGAGACGATGGAGTGGTGCTAGGGGGTGGAGTGTGAGTGAACCTAGGGGTGTAGCAGGGGGTGTGTAAAAAAGGGGGTGAGACAGTTAGAGGGAGGTTGGGCGGAGGCAGCCGTCGTGTCGCCTGCAGCGCCAGTAGTCCGGAGGCTACAATCTCCGGTAGCCCAGCGAGCCTGCTGCGACAGTCGCCCATGGGTCCGTTGCTCCTGCAGCTCAGAGTTAGTCGCGGAGCCAGTTACTCCAGTAGTCCGGAGGCTACAATCTCCGGTAGCCACAGTGCGCGCCGCTCCTGTTGCCCGTGTGTCTGCAGCTTCACCTGTCGTCTCCTATCTCTTCTCCTCTCACAGTCCCTCCTCCTCCTCACTTATCGTCTGTGACTGCCTCTAGCTTTGCTTACATTTGTGAACTATAAACTGCTGCTGCTTGTACTTGTGCTCAGAATGTGTGGTGACATTGTGATCCACCCTGAGCTTGTTCTTGCTTGCTTGTTGTGCTGATTACACCCCACTTTGGCTATGGGGGTGTGTCAGAATGTTATGTTTTGTCTAGCCTGCAGTGGGGTACTCAATAGTGAGTACATCCCAATCTAGGGTTTGCTATATGTACTCAACTGCTTGCTAGTGCAATCATTCCGCTGCTCTTCTTCTCATTCCTGTTTAATTCTTCACAAAAATGCCATGTGGCACCTCTCTTGCCACTTGCAGCGGAAGATTCGCCTGCACGTGGTCACAGCGAAGTAGTGCGAGGGGGGAAATCTCGGTAGATTGTAAGTGAATGTGCCGCGAAATTTCATCTAGGGAGAAATTTTCGCGATATTCTTCAATATTGCAGCTACTCGTTAACGATTATTATAGCGAATTCGTAAGAAAAGTGGGGTGTTATAGAAAATCAGCAAAAAAGGGGGGTATAGTAGAAACGAGGCTCCCCATAACACCCACCCCGCACAAGCTACCCGGGGGTGTACAATTATGGGGGGGTGTTTTGTCCGGGAGTATACGGTATAAAGATCAACTTGCCCAGCGCTGCGTATAGTACAACAATTACCGTACATGCATTCCATGTTTAAAGGCCCTGTGATCCCCTTGGAATCTCATTCAAGTCTAAATGCACCTGCCTTGCGTCACACAAATGGTTCCCGGCAATCAGCCCCAGCCCATGTCCAGGATCGACAACAGACATCCATGGTCTCTCACTTGTCTTCTCCAACTTCCTACCCACTAGCTTGCGTGGCAGCCGTTTCACCCCAACGAACCCACCAATCCCCCCCATGGGAGGCACGTCATCTTCCACGGCCTGCTTCCGGCGAACCCTCCGCTCACCCTGATTTGCGCAGCTCAACCATTGACGATCGGACCTGGAAGGTTCCAAAGCAGGTCTGGCAAGTTTCAGATGAGCACCGGGTGGCTCGGAGTCAGCCCGGTGTGGAACTGTGTCGGCCTGAGATGGCTTCACATCAAAAGGGGATGATGGGTCGACACTGGTCCTGGATGGCACTGAAATAACCTGCAGTGGCTCCGAGTCAGGCCTAGGCAGCAGAGAGTTGAGGATGGGTTGCTCAGAGCGGATAAGGTTTGGCTCTGCCACTCCAGCTTCCACGTTGCACGCTACCTGTTGTGCTTGGAATTCATGAGGAGCATAATTCTGAAAAGGGGGATAGCTCGGGTGGAGGGGGATCGGGCCCAGAAGGCCAGACTGCTGCAGCAATCCGGTAAACCCTGGCAGCAAGGAGAGAGCTTGTGGGCAGCAAGGGAGGTGACTCTCACCACCAGCTTTCCCTGCCTCCACTACCGTAGCCGCTTCAACTGCTTCCGCTGACAGGAGAGGACCACACGTGGCTTGTGCAGGTAGCGGTGTGGCGTTGTGTTGCCTTTCATGTCCCGCCATTTCTGCGATCTTCATTCTTGCTTCTGCACCCAGAATAAACATTGGCCAGTTAGACGTTTCTGATATAAATCAGGTCTGTAAGCAAAATGTCAGTCCCTAAATCTGGATCTTTTAGGTAGGACCCAATAACACCATAGACGGCTATTAGAGTGCTTACCCCGTCGGTGCTTTGTAACGTGGCCACCATAAGCCTGCCTCGATCCGAACGATTTCCCGCAGTCTGTGCACGTGTAAACAGGTGGCAGTAGGGGCGCCAAGCTACCGATTCCAGCTGGCCGGGCTGGAATTATAGAATCCTGCTGTGCAGGCTCCTCCGGACGCGGAATCTGAGCCCTCAGCTGGCTCGCACGCGCCTGCAGTGCCAGCAGACGCGATCGTATTTGATGCTGGATCTGATGCTGCGTCTGTTGCTGCATGCCTTGATAAACCTGCTGCTGCAGCTGTTGCTGCATCTGCTGCTGTGTCTGTTGCTGTGTCTGCTGCTGCGTCTGCTGCTGCGTCTGCTGCTGCGTCTGTTGCTGCATCTGCTGCTGTGTCTGTTGCTGCGTCTGTTGCTGCGTCTGCTGCTGTCTCTGCTGCTGCGTCTGTTGCTGCATCTGCTCCTCCGTCTGTTGCTCCATCCGTTGCTGCATCTGCTGCTGCATCTGCTGCTGCATCTGCTGCTGCGCCTGATGCTGGTGCGTCTGCTGCTGCTGCGTCTGTTGCTGCTGCGTCTGTTGCTGTGTCTGTTGCTGCGTCTGTTGCTGCATCTGTTGCTGCAACTGTTGCTGTTCCTGTAAATGAGTCTCTTGGTGCATCTGTTCCTGCACGCCTTGATGCACCTGCTGCTGCACCTGCTGATGCATCTGTTGCTGCGTCTCTTGGTGCATCTGTTGCTGCGTCTCTTGGTGCATCTGTTGCTGCGTCTCTTGGTGCATCTGTTGCTGCATCTCTTGTTGCCTCTGCTGCTGCATCGGTTGCTGCATCTGCAGCTGCATATCTTGTTGCAGCTGCAGGAAATTGGGAAGCTGCTGAATAGGAGCTCCTGCCGATGACAAATTGGTGATCAGCTGATGCAGCCTATGCAATCTGGAAGAGTCAGCAGCACCCGCAGCAAGTTCGTTAGGAGGTTGCAGATTCAGCATGTTAGTACAAACAGCTGGCACAGATGCACTCACATGGGTGCCAAGCGGATTTCCGTGCAGGTCAGAGTTGAAAGGTTGAGGACAAGGGTTGAGAGACTGAATAAAGGGGAAGAGAGATTGTGGACAGGAGCTGAGAGGTTGAGTGGAAGGAATAAGGGATTGAGAACAAGGGTTAAGAAATTGCGTAGAGGGAATGAGAGATTGTGGACAGGAGTTGAAAGATTGAGCAGAGGGGAAGAGGGCTTGAGGTGCTGAAAGAGTGTTTGGAGCCAAGGGAAGGATTGAAGGCAAAGGGTTGAGAAATTGAGGAAGGGATTGAGCAGAAGCGGCTGGTGCAGGGAGAAATGCTTGGAGCGGAGCTTGTAGTGGAGCTTGTAGTGGAGCTTGTACCGGGGCTTCCAGTGGAGCTTGTACCGGGGCTTGCAGCAGGGAAGTAGGCAGCAGAGCTGCTGGATCGATATGAAAGTGCAGGGGTCTTGCTGGAATGTCCGATCCTGCACAGTGGGGAGAAAGACTCGAAGCGTAAGTCACCAAACTGCAAGATCACAGACCCAAAGCACGAGTCTCAAGAGCACACGACTATACACACAGAATAAGACTTTCTGGTCATCATTCCCTACCAGAAGCCGCTGCTCCCGTCGCATGCATCTCGCTTGGAATCGAAGCCCAGCAGACCTTCCGCTTTCTGCTCCCGCTACCAGCGCTTTCGAGCCCGCTTCCGCTTCCGCGTCCGTGAAAGCCTATAGCTGGCGTTGATTCAACAAATGTGCTGCCATCGCTGGGGTTGGTGCTGCCGATGCCACTCGGAAAAGACGACGCCATTTCATAGCCCACTCGGAGGTGCGACAGTGCTGCAACCCAATCGGCTCTGCCGTAGGGCAAAAAAGGCACGCCGTGTGTTTCGCCGAGGCTGCTGTGGCCGCCGCTATTCCGCGGGTCGAAACGCCCGGTCGCGAAGAGACGCGTGGGATCGTCTGCAGAGTCGTTTGATCTCTGATCCATGGCAGGGGATGGGCTACCAACAGCTAGTAGTGGCTAGTCCAGCGAGAATGCGAGTCGCTGAAACGTGATAAGGCGCTCGTTCTGCTCGTTATGCGGCCAAATCTTAGTCGCTCCGCTGCCCCTTGTAGTGGTGAGGGTCACAGACGCTGAAAGAGGGGAGAAACGAAATGTTAACGGAAAAACGGGTTGCACGTCAGTGCGGGGACTCGATCTGACGGACCAATCGCCCTCAATCCGAAGTAGATCTTCGACCGAAGCAGGCACGCCGATATGTCCACCAAGAACGTGAGCTTCACGCTTCCCGAAAAGTCGAGAAGATTCTGTGCTGACTTCAGAAGAAACGAATGCACAAAGCCGCCCATCAGTTTAAGTGCCAACCCGGCTTTACGCGCTGCAAATGTTCCAGCACCTCCATCTGACCAGCTTTTCACGATCAGAGCGCGCCGAAATTACCCGTACCATGGAGATTTTATTATCCTCCTTTTTCCGGGTCACAAATACTTCCCGTGCTCGTGCAGCCATGATCTTTCCACCCTGGAATGAATGCTGCATCGCGTGGCTAACGTCGCCAAAACCATCCCAAAGAAGATAATCGTTCTCACGTGACAGCAGAGCGCCTCCTTCCATGTGAGCCGAGCTTCTCGAACCGCCCTTTTGTGTGCGACGAATTATTTAATGCTGTCAAAACGACATGCTGGCTCACACGTGTCCATCTAGGCTAGGAGAGCATAGTGCTCACGAGGATGCTTGCAAGCAATGAAGCTTCCACTCACCAACGCGTTGTATTATTGATTGAATATTGACGCGTAGTACAGATAATGTACACCCAGGAAAAGTCTTTTAAACCTCGATAGAAATAGCACAGATAAAGAAGTTGGGACTGCTAAGGTGTGGTACCTCGGTTTTTTATAGACGCTACCCATTCCACTGAGATATTCTAGCAAATAGAGAGCCTCTTAAATCTATATACATCCGTGTCACTCCAACTCCCCCCCTCGTTAGAATGCTTCAAGTCAACACCATCGCACAACTCCTTCAGTTCGGTTAAGCTTTTGGCCCTCTGTTCCTTCAAATTCAAGGCGTCCCCTTGCACCTGGTCTCGCAACTGTTCTTGCAGCCTAGCAATCTCGTCCTCCAACCTCCCTATCTCTTCATCCTGGGGCACGTTGCTGCCAGACCCCTGCCCTGCCTGACCTAGGCTGGGGCTAACAACTCCAAGAGCTGAAGCAAGCTGCTTATAGCATGGTTGCTGCATCAGCTGGTAAATCTCTTTAAGGCTCTGCTGCTGCTGCTGCTGCTGCTGCGGCAGCGTCAGTTGCTGCTCCTGTGATTGAACAGGTGCTGCTCCTAGTGGCAATGCTGCTGCTGGCGGGGGCACTCCTGCAGGAGCTGGAGCAAGGGACGCAGGTGGAGTAGGAAATGCACCGCGGATATCCAAAGCACCAGATGATGCAACCTGAGAAGGTGTCTGCATCGCAGGAAGTGTAACACCTGGCAGTGAAAACAACTGCTGCTGCTGCTGCTGTTGCAGCTGTTGCTGTTGCTGCAATTGCTGCTGCTGCTGCTGCTGCTGCTGCTGCTGCTGCAGCTGCTGCAGTAGCTGCTGTTGTTGCAGTTGCTTCTGCTGCTGCTCCCACGCTCCCTGCCCCTGCTCCAGCCCACGCGGTTGCAGCCATGACTGTGGCTGAGAAACCCTCGGATCACGCAACTTGAGAGCATGAGGCTGGGAACCACGAAACCGAAAACCATGAGGCTGGAAAGCACGAGACTGCGAGCCATGAGGCTGAAAATCCTGCCACATGGGAGCCCCCTCGGATAGAGGCTGAGATATAGGAGACTGCCAGACAGGGGGCTGAAGCAGAGGAGGGTGAGGCAGAGGAGGGTAAGACAGAGGGGGCTGTGGAATGGGGGGTTGGGACAGAGGGGGGTGAGACAGAGGAGGCTGAAACAGAGGAGACAGAGGAGGCAGCATGGCAGGAGGGCGAGAAGAAGGAACTTGGGGTTCAGACGGTGGGATGTAACGGGGAAATTGAGGCAAGGATGAAGAAGCAGTGCCAACCACAGGTGCAGAAGGAGGGGCTGTAGCAGCTGTAGCAGCTGCGGAGCCTGTGGGGACTGGGGGGGCTGTAGTGGCGGGAACAAATGTTCCCGGAGCATGAGTCTGGAGGAAGAGAGACTCTAGAAATTCAGGTGTCATGGAAGTGAGAAAGGGGTTTCCGGAGTTGAAGTGCAGGGATGCTGAAACGTTGCTGGATTGTTGTGGTAGCCGCGTTCGGGCTGATGGCGTGTGCTGCAGGGGTGTGTGGGGCAGAGACGACACAGACGGTGGCACCTGTTCATGGAATCTAAGATCTGGGAGCTCCGGGGGTCTTTGCTGTGTGAACAGTGGAGACAGAGGAAGAGGCACACAAGCTGATTCCATCTGAGGCATCCTCGGAAATGCAGGAGGAGGCAATCTGGCTGCTGCTCTGCTGCCCGTCTCCGTTGAGAATCCTAAGGCATGAGGGAGAGTGCGGTGTTGTGGAAACAGCAGCTCAGCTGGTGGCTGTGGTGGGAGGAGTGCTCGTGCTGCTGATGTAGCTGTTGCCGCTGGTGTTGCGTGCAGTGCTGGCATTGTGAACCCCGCTGGTGTTGCTGGTAGTGTGAACCCCGCTGGTGTTGCTGGTAGTGTGAACCCCGCTGGTGTTGCTGGTAGTGTGAACCCCGCTGGTGTTGCTGGTAGCGTTAGCGCCGCTGGTGGAGCTGGCAGCACTCTTGTTGATGCCACACGGCCAGGTTGCTGTTGCTGCTGAAGTTGCTGCTGCTGCGGCTGCAGTTGTTGCTGCTGTTGCCTTTGTTTCTCTTGTTGCTGCTGTTGCAGTTGCTGCTGCTGCTGCAGCTGCTGTTGCTGCTGCTGTTTCTGTTGCTGTTGCTGTTTCTGCTGCTGTTGCTGTTGCTGTTGCTGCTGCTGACGCGCCTGCTGCAATTGCTGCAAGCACTCCACCCGAGCCTGCTGCTGCTGTTGCTGCTGCTGCGATCGCATCTCCGCCACTGCCCTCTCGCCTGCCTGCAGCACAAGCCGATCCTCATATTGTTTTTCTAATAAAAGAAAAGGGACAACAAACATGTAACGCAAACCAAGTGTAAGCACAATGACGCGAAAAAAAAACAATCAGCGCGGAGCACGACAAAAAAAATCCAAAAGGCAGAGCCATTTTTTTGAAGTTCGCACTATCATGCCTCACCGCGCTTCAGCCCGCCTCACCTCGCCTGTGCATGTTCATGTGACCTCCCAGCGCCCGAGGGGAATCAAATCCCTTGCCACAGAATCGGCAGTGCTTCTGCTTCTGCTGCATCACCAGCTGCTGCTCCTGCTGCTTCTCCTGTAGCTGCTGCTGCTGCTCCTCCTGCTGCAGCAGCTGCTGTTGTTGATGGTGCTGCTGCTGCATCAGCTGCTGCTGCTGATACTGTTTCAGCTGCAATTGCTGCAATTCCTCTTCCTGGTGCTGCTGCTGCTGATTCTGCTGTTGCTGCTGCTTGTACTGCTGTTGCTGCTGCTCATACCGCTGCAGCTGTTGCTGCTCCTGCTGTTGCTGTAGCTGCTGCTGCTGCTGATACTGCTGTTGCTGCTGCTGCTGCTGCCGATACTGCTGTTGCTGCTGCTGCTGCTGCTGCTGCTGCTGCTGCTGCTGCTGCTGCTGCTGCTGCTGCTGCTGCTGCTGCTGCTGCTGCTGCTGCTGCTGCTGCTGCTGCTGCTGCTGCTGCTGCTGCTGCTGCTGCTGCTGCTGCTGCTGCTTCTGCTGCTGCTGCTGCTGCTGCTGCTGCTGCTGCTGCTGCTGCTGCTGCTGCTGCTGCTGCTGCTGCTGCTGCTGCTGCTGCTGCTGCTGCTGCTGCTGCTGCTGCTGCTGCTGCTGCTGCTGTTGCTGCTGCTGCTGCTGCAGTTGATACTGCTGTTGCTGCTGCTGCTGCTGCTGCTGATACTGCTGTTGCTGCTGCTGCTGCTGCTGCTGCTGCTGCTGCTGCTGCTGCTGCTGCTGCTGCAGCTGATACTGCTGTAGCTGTTGCTGTGGTAACCACTGCACCGCAGGCGATCCTGACTGTTGTTGCATGCGTAACAGCCTCTCTTGCTCTTGACCGCCCCCCCTCACTCCCCCCATACTGCCTCCTCCTCCTCCTCCTCCTCCTCCCCCTGCTCCTCCTCCTACCCCTCCGCCTTCCCCCGTGTCAGCAGCAGCCTGCTTCAGCTCCACCTCGCTCGGAAACACCCGCGGATGCTTCCTGCGGCTGCCACTCCTCCCCCTTCCCCTCCCCCTGCTCCTCCCCGTACCCCTCTCCGTACCCCTTCCCGTATCCCTCCCCTCCTGGCCACTCTGCGCAGAGCCTCTCTTGAAGTCCGACGCGTTGCCGTTGACTGTCGCCTCTCTTTCACCTTCCCCCTCCTGGAAGGTCCACGCCCATCCCCCTCCTCCGCCTTCCTCTCCTGCCTCCGCCATGTCCTCAGTCTGGAGCAAGTCATCCACACCACAGGGCTGTAGCTGTGAATCTATTCGAGCACGTCGTCTACCGGTGTTGCTGAGACCTCCAGCTGTAGCGCTTCCTGCAGAACACTCCAAGGTGGGGATTGACGCTACTGCCGTAGGCGGGAGTGCTGATAGCGGGGACAACGAGTGTGGTACAGACGAATGTTCTGGTAACGACTCAGTTATGGCGCCAAAGGGAGTCTCTCCAAAGGTCCAATCGAAACCAGACGAAGGAAGAGTCAAGGCAGGTACGGTTTCGGAATGTTCCAAGGCTCCAGAGCTGGCGAATTCGCTTGTACCTGCTGAGGCAGACGAGCCAATCACAGCAAACGACGATTCGGCCGGCGCAGAGGACCCAGCCGGTGCGACTGATGTTCTCTCCATTGGTCCTCTGTAAGGTGACGAAGGGTCAGACATCAAAATGCACTGAAACACTACAATTCGCTTGCTGCAATTCTTAACTGGCAGTTCGGAAGCTTGTGTGCGTGTCAGAAAGTGCTGCTATCCCTTAAGAAGCAACTAGGACTGGCCACTGATTCCAATTCAAGCCATTTTCCGAGCGAGGATTTCCTGGCTGACTGCCAACCAAACAAAGCGTCTGGGTTCGTGAAGTCCCTTGTAACAATCAGCTGGTGGTGTAGAGGGGATCAGGCAGAAGGGGTTTTCCTTGAGCCCTACAAGAGCAACCTGCAACAGGTGCCTAGGATGCTTGCAGTTCTGTTCGCAATGCTGTCGCTGTAAGCCTGACCGATTTCTCTTCTGTCGGCATAAAAGCACGCTCGGAAGCGATTCGCCCATGATTTGGAGGCCGAGTGACGTTGCGAATCTTCGATGAGGCGTGCCAAATCTACTCCGGAACGTCATCATCATCACGTGATAGGGTGAAGGTCGGGGGTGAAATCTCCGACTCGCTCAAGGAATTTGAGACACGTCGACGCGATTTGCATGTCGGTCTGCTCATTTTCTCGACCGCGACAAATCACGCGGAGGAGCAAGATCGTTTGCTTGGCCCGAGTAGCAGCGAAACGACGTTTTCTTGAGTAAGCTTGCAGCGAGAGCGACATGGTGAGGCCCCGGCGTGATGTGCGTCGTCCATGCAAGGTCACTGCGCTGCGACTCAGTGACGAGATATGTTCTTGCAGACGAATTCTTGGAAGACATGTCTGGTCAGCACAGCTGTCAGCAGGGCCCTAGGGGAGCTTCTGAGGCCCCTGGCGTTACTTAGGTTCAGCAGTAGAGCACTCGGGGAGGTGTGACAATAGGGAGGTGACGTGAAACCCTCCGATTACGTCCAGAAACTCGAAGGAGGGGCGAGCGTTGAAGCTACTTGCTAGCAGGAGTTGCACACAACCAGGCAGATCCAGGCTCCTGCTTTGTGACAGAAACGGTGTCAGGACAACATCATGCACACAGCAGAAAGCATTCAATTCAACCAAATGCTCTTGGAGTTCGGGTTATGATGTGAAAGTTGTCTGGTTGGACGAATCATGGGAGACATGCAGGGAAGGATAGGGTCTGTTGTGCTGACGTCAATTGCATGCGTCGGCTCACATCGCACGAGGGTGGTGTTTTTCAATACGCGTTAGAGGTACTCATATTGAGGAAGCAGATGACTCGTTTATTGACCTTGCAAAAAAAAATGAAATCTACTAAGAGACGCTGACTCAATATTGCTACTGGAGAAATGCTTTTTGTTGCAACACTAGTAGAGAAGGGCATACCGTTCACTAAAATCAGCACCTTTTCTAACAAAGAAGCAACGAAAGAATTATGTCATCGTGTATAGAACAGACGCACGTCACGCATCTGCATCGCTCGCAGGAATCGGATTCAAATCAATTAATACTACCACTAGCACTTGCACCCTGATGCTGATCAGTTGAAGACCGAAACCCCTCATGGACATTCCAAATTGCCCCTCATCCCTTCCATGGACTCATCCTCCCCCCTCTTCCTTCCAACAAACCCAGAGATCCCACCTGGTGGGAGGGCTTCGCAGATGCCATTCTCTTGAACGGCTGCAGAACGGCTGGCAGGTACATCTTGTTCCACAACCTGGTCCACCAGGTGTGATGCAGGAGGCACCAGCACGCTATCTGGCAGCATGGAGAGCCGATGGTGGAGTAACTGCTCATAGAGCAGCAGCTCCTGTTGAGATGCAACGACTGCCTGAAGAGATGGCTCCCATTGCTGCTCATCCAGTACATATATTGCTGGGATGTTGCTCCTCTGCTCTTTTTGCTCAAGAGCATCAGCAGGACATTCAGCCATGCCAGAGCTCACACAGGAGGTTGATGAATTCAGCAGCTGACATAAGCTTTCTGCCACCTTCCGAGCATCTGCTTCCACCTTTTTCGTGCGCCTTATCTTCTGCCTTTCCTCTGCATATTTGGGTCAACGATGATAGCATGAGAAACTTCAAAAGGGAAAAATCAAATACAATTGGAACATTAAAGAAGGCTAATAGATTATGCTTGCAGCGGGTTTCATGCAAAAAAGCGGCCAGCATACCTCGTCTATGTCTGGACATGTGTCCTCCCAACGCCTCAGGCTGGGTGAACATCCTCCCACACTCCTTGCACTCATACGTGGTCGGCACTTGAAGCTTGCTCGCCGCTGCCTGTAGCCTCTGGAGGTCGTCTGCAAGGAAAAACCAGGTGAGTGCTGGGTCCATGCAGCTGAACAGTGTCGGCGTCACATGGATGGGTGGGTTAAAGGAATTCACTGACCCCACAGGGCTAGATAAAAGCAAGGGAAAACTCCTGGTGAGAAGGTCCATATTGCTGGAAGATTGCATAGGAAGATTCCCAGCAAGAAGATCGATACTGCTGGACGGTTGCAAAGGAGGGATCCCCTTAAGAAGGTCCGCATAGCTATTTTCCAAAGCCATAAGGGGGGCGGAATTCAAGGTAGTCATACTGGGCCCAGGGAGTTGGGATAAGGAGGCGAGAGGCGCAGCTGTCACGGAATTCGGAGAGTGGAGAAGGGACAAGGACGGAGGCACATGTGCCAGGGCCTGACGAAGGCGTTCTTCAATGGTGATAGCCTGAGGCGCGTCTGCAGTGGGTATTGTCAGGTAAGCGGCATGAAAAGAAACCCATATTTGACAAGGCAACCGACAAAAGATAGGCAGATCCGTGCACAGTGATCCACAGACAGACCAGTACAGACGCGATTAGCACCTATGATGGCCTGAAAGATGAGACAGAGCAGGAAAGATGAGCAAAACCGCCCGAGGTTTGATCATTACACACCTGCAAAAACGGATGACGGTCGAGCGAGAATTTTAGCCGCAGCCAGAAGAGCAGCAGGAGACTCATCATCACCGCAAGCAGCAGCCGCCTTGACCTCCCTCTCGCTCGGAAATGTATCTCCGTGCGATCTTTTCGGTTTCCGACCCGCACACTTCCGCTTGGGCGCTCCCAAACCGTATACGGACAGAGAGCCGCCTTCTTCCACCACCATGAGTCGTGAAGCTTGTTGAAAATCCGCTATCCGAACTGGATGAAGATGTTGTTTGTAGATCGCACTAGCATCTCCGTGCTCCATGCGGACTTTCCTTGGTGACAGAAATCTACAGAGCTCCACAAACCGCAATCGCGCTTCCTACCCTCTCGTCCATCGCAGTCAGAAAAGGTGGTCTCTTCTGTCTTACGGTACTGTAATGAGACTCTCTCAAATATATACACTCTGGTTAAGAACTATGTCCCTGCTATCAGCATGCTTTCCAATAGAGCAATGGTCCCACAGGAGCTCAACCAGCCTGCTGGAAGGGCAGAAAGAATCAGCAGGCTGGGGGTGGAGATTGGAGCGAGAGGCGGCATTGCACGCGGTTGATCGAAGTGCGAGTGGATCGCAATCCATACAACGCACGGGGCCATCGAGTCCAGCGGACAGACTCAGAAGGCGGCGGCTGCATGTGGCAACTGACCGCGTTAGGTTCGCGAAACACCGGACGCGCGTGCAACCATTCGTAGCAAAAGGAAGACAGTGTCGCCTGAAAATCTGCGTGTCAAGTGACACGTAGCCCTTTCTTTAGGGTCAGGAAGGTAGTAACTCCATCGTTTGGATGAAACTCGTGAGAACACTACTGCGGATGATCCAACGCCGGAGAGCGTCGCTCTCGTTCTTTACAACACCCTACGGTGACTTGAATAAGATGGGTCATTGGGTGAAACAGGCATCGAGAGTTGCACGGGGAGATTATGACTCAGCCCTGACATACGTCCAAACTCATCGATGCACGACGTGTCCCACGCACCGCATGCCAACGAGGGGAATCCTCGTGACACGGAGACTGTAGGATCTGGATCCATGGCGAGTAAGTAAAGCGCAGCGGCACACGTGGAAGTACGCATGTGACGAGAGAGCCGAATGGTGAACATCACGAGGAGAGCTAATGGGGCACTAGAGACAGGATTGCCTGTGCTGTAAATGGACTTCTGCATGTGGAGGTGCTCCCGAACAACGTCGTGAAATCATATTAGGGAAGGAAATATTGTACAACCCTGGTGTTACTTTCATCATCATAATATATCCACCTACATTAGAACATGCCACTACATAGAGCATAAAGCGCATGAAGGAGCTGTCACAGTTTTAGTTGTCCATTGAGGTGGTCCAGCCTGAACATTTCTTTGGTTGTATGTATGAACTCACCCTCACCTTGGAACGCCTTCAAACAGGTTATATCTATCGTACTAGAACCTTTTTTCCAATATCAAGTGCCTGCAAGGTGCTCAGAGTGCCCTTGAAAAAGTTCACCAATCATGCTCTCTACTTCTTCCAGGCTGTATTTCTTATGCTTGACCAGAGGATCCTTGGAACCAGGAAAGTTACGAGGAACGACCGATAAGCTGGGACAACCAGTTCTCCAACAAGAAGCTGGGCTGATGTGCGAAGCTCCACATCAGGAATAGCCCAAAGCCGATGTTTCGCAATGAGCTCCTCAAATGTGGTGCTGAACAACTTGAGTCTGCAACAACAACCTTCATGGTGTAAGAGTACAAGGAGCTACCCACATGTATCCAGTGAATCTAATGTGCCATACCTTTCTTTTATAGTGCCTTTGCTGATCGACTGCAGGTCTGCTTGCACTGCTCCAGCTGCTTCTCCACTGAGAGATAATAGGCTGAACACCTGCACTTGGTTGGTGAGCAAAATGCAATCACGGCAATTGAAAAGCACCTACAATTACCTTGCCCCAAGCAGCACGTCTGTAGGCTGAAGCCGACTGCTGAACAGACATCTTTTGCTGTTGAGCCCACGCCTTCCCAAGAACTTCGCTAAGCTCGCACCTGGATGCCAAACGCAGTTGGCAGTTTAAACACTTCGAAACTAACAAACAGAACAATACCAATTTTAACGGAATAAATCCTGCGAAGTCCCACCTCTGGATTTGGTGCACAATGTGATGCACGTTATTCATCATAAAAACGCATCCCAGGCCGGGATCCTTGTACTGCTTAGACTTCTTATCCAAGTTCTTCAGCAACATCTCAAGTATCGAGTGGGTAAGCTGTGAGAACGAACCAGGTCCCCTCTCCACTTCCACAAACATCCGCTCTAAAACTGAAGAGCGCCTGCAGTTAAGCAAACATTTGTTAAGTGCAAATCACTCAAGATGATTGGTCAAACGGCTGGTCTGTTGACACCTTACTCGTGACAGCACTTCAGGTAGTTGATCACATAGCTGGTTAGAGGGTGAACTGTGCCATTCAGAAGCTGCTTGCTGTCATCATGATCAATCGCTGATTCAAGCTGATGAATGGTTTGAACAGTCACCAAGCATAACTTCTCCTTAAGTGAAGAAACTCGCTTTACAATGTCATCCCATTTCTCCAGTGTGACCTAATGTAATAGTGCTCCAGCTTAGATACCTCGTAGAAGCCAAATACGATGAAGTTGGACAACACCACTCACCTGTGTCAAAAGTTCTTCTGCGGCCTCATACATGTCAAGAGTCGCAAACAGCTTCTCAGGTGACTTGAGAACAATGGTGAATGTAACCCCGGTGTCAACAAGAATTCCCATGATGTAAGCCAAAGCTCCGGTCTTAGCCCTCGCCCCCAAGACATCCATGCCTTTGAATATTCTCATGGCTAAGAGGCCCTCAGTGCTCATCACTGTGCTTGTCTGTCATGCAAATAAAGGAAGTCAATAACAAATCCAAGAAAAATCACGAAGATGAGGTGCTGATACTGACCAATACAGCTGACATATGCATCCAAGTCTGAAGTTTCCCTTCCATGTCCTTCCACTTCAAAGAAGCAGGATCAGCTATTTTCAAGGACTTCCAGTCAATATGAGAACGTTGTAGAAACTCTTCAACACAGGTTCTCCTCACATCCCTGCTCATAACCTCTGTGAGTCCCACAGTCCAATATGCTTCTGGCATACTTTTCACAGTATTTATCTTACACGTAAATCTTGATGCAGTCTTCCGCAAAGCCCAGCTTCACCAGTGCTTGGACCAAACCAACAAGGCGAGAGACAAGAACCGAACTCCCGTCGTTTCCCCTTACGTCGTCGGAAATGTCAAGATCGTTCCTGCTAAGACAACCAAGCTGGGTAGTTCTTACATCCAGACAACCCATCTGCTGGTCGACGAGGGGAAATAACAAAAATTGGAGAACGCCAGTGCCGGGGAACAGCCTGTAGACGGAAAGAGTGACCTACAGTTCCAGCAGTTCCTTTCTGAGAGCATCTTTCATGTTCCGTATTCCTTCTTGAATGAGCTTCTTCGCGCAGAACAACGCATGCGAAGCATCTTCTTGTTCCGCGTGTCGCTCGAAGAATGCGATAATGCCAACCAATCGGTCTAGAGCTTGCCTGTACTTCACTAAATCTCTTGAACCGCCAGCCTCAATTATTCTCGCGACCTGATTATTGAAGAGTCATCAATAAGAAGCTGTCGGGACACAAGAAGCTGTGGCCATCTTACCTCTCGAAACTTCTCGTATTGCTCGATCATGAAGGTTGCTGCGTCAAGGGCCTTGGTCACGTTACTGTGAATGATTTGGTGATGTCTTGTGGATGCCTGCACGACGACCGTGTTAGCAACCACAGACATTCGTAGGCAGGTACGAATTCGTCAACACTCCACCTGCACTGGTCTAATTCCACGCTCCAACTCCGATAGTCGCTCGTCGAATGAGTCTAAGGTAAATATCATGTTGTCTGTCATGTCCTGGGAGTTTGCAAGGGCTGCTCTCAGTGCAGCTGCGTGAGCCACCAGACCTTTCTCGGGAGTGCCCATAGCAACAGCAGGAGAATGGTGACTAGTGTTGAACTCCTACTCCAGCTGAGTAGAGAGCAGAGTTGATATTGAACTGAAAGCTCCAAAAGCAGTTGAGTTGAGAAGTGCCCGCTTCACCTGCTGATGAATTGGTTGGGTTTGGTTGGGTTGGAGAACAAGTACGTGTAGAAATGTTTCCATCACTACCCATTGTTTTCCATTTCCAGCTACTGGTACCTTTCCGAGCTGCCACAAGCGGAGTGGTCACTGCAGGAGTTGGTTGTTTTGCCACCAAAACGATTTTGTTTCTGTAAGGAAAATCCCTTTTCCTAACTTCGCGTCCCTGCTCAGCGCGTACACCACTGTTCCCGCCAACAGCACCCCACAATAATCCGTTACCACTCGCGACATTCGCCTCTACCCCATTCCCGCCACTGTTCACGATGCGACCCAACCTCACGGTTCGGTTGGTAACCCGCGCTCCGGACCTCCACCTCGACATTCCCCAACCTCGGCACCAGGCCCGTCGCGCACCCCGTTTTTCCACACGTTACCGTTACCACTGTTGTCAAACATATGCATATATGTGTTATAGTTTGGGTAGGCTTAGTGGGGTACTTATTGTGGGGTACAACCCCTTGGGTTTTCACTTTGTACCAAACTCTCTCGATAGTTCATGACAATTTTCCCGTAAGATTCTTGACATGGTATAGAGCATAGGTCCTTAGGACCTACGATTAGGGCCCACCACGATTATCTTACCTAGTGCCTACGCGCGCCTCAGCTGCCCGCGCGCGCCTCGGGCGGTCCTTTTTTTTTTTTTTTCCCACGTGCGCCGTCTCAGCAGCCCGCGTAGCCCGTTTCGGCCCCACCTGTGCGCCCCCCCCTTACGCCGCCCGTGCGAAACCAGATTAGGCCACGCCAGAGCGGCCCGTCGCCCAGCGTAGCCCGTAGCGCAGCGACCAGCCCGCAGCTGCACACGTGCGGCCCGTCGCCCAGCGCAGCCCGCAACCGCACGTAGAATGCGGCCGCGCACGCTGTAGCCACGCACAGCCCGCAGCTGCAGGCAGCCCGCAGCTCGCGCAATCCGTCGCCGTCCGTAGCCTACGGCCGCGCGCGCTACCTGTAGCCACGCGCAGCCTGTAGCCTCGTGCAGCAAGCCGCCACACGCAGGCCTCAGGCCGCTCCTGCCAGCTGCCTGCTGCCTGCCTGCTGCTTGCTGCCTATAGCCTGCCTGCCTGCCTGCTTGCCGCCTGCCTGCCGCCTGTCTGCAACCTGCCTTCTGCCTGCCTGCTGCCGCCTGCCTGCCTACTGCCTGCATGTCAAACATATGCATAGCTATGTTATATTTTGGGTAGGCTTAGTGGGGTACACCATGTAGGGTACAACCCCTTAGGCACATTTTTCTCTTTGTACCACCATCTCGATAGTCGAGACTCACTCATGGCTAACTCTTAAGATGGTATCTAGAGCATAGGTCGTTAGGACCTAAGATTAGGGCCCACCGATTACTGCATTACTTCGCCTGCCTTGCCTGCTGCCCGCACGCGCCTCGGCTGCACGCGCGCGGCCCTTTTTTTTTTTCCGTGCGCGTCACTTAAGCAGCCCACGCGTAGCCCATTTTCGGCCCCGCGAGCCACGTCAGCCACCCGCGCAGCCTACCGCCGGCCCGCGCGCCGTGTAAACCGCTCGTGCGCAATCTGCTTAGGCCCTGCGCGCCGCGTCCGTGTAGCCCGTTTTAGGCCCCACGCGCCGTGTAGCCCGTTTTAGGCCCCCACGCGCCGTGTAGCCCGTTTTAGGCCCCTCACGCCGTGCCAGCCGCCCACGCAGCCTGCCGCCAGCCCGCGCGTCGCCACGAGCAGCCCGCAGCTGCGCGCGATGCCCGTAGCCAAGTGCAACCTGCAGCCTCGTGCAGCAAGCCGCCACACGCAGCCAGCAGCCTCACGCAGCCCTCAGGCCACTCCTGCCTGCTGCCTCACTGCTGCCTGCCTGCCTGCCCACTTGCTGCCTGCTGCCGCCTGCCTGCAGCCTGCCAGCTGCCTGCCTACTGCTTGCTGCCTGCTGCTGCCTGCCTGCTTGCTGCCTGCTGCCGCCTGCTGCCGCCTGCCTGCCGCCTGCCTGCCTGCCTGCAGCCTGCCTGCTGCCTGCCTATTGCTTGCTGCCTGCTGCCGCCTGCCTGCAGCCTGCCTGCTGCCTGCCTGCTGCCTGCCTACTGCGTGCTGCCTGCCTGCAGCCTGCCTGCTGCCTGCCAGCTGCCTGCCTACTGCTTGCTGCCTGCTGCTGCCTGCCTGCTTGCTGCCTGCTGCCGCCTGCTGCCGCCTGCCTGCCGCCTGCCTGCATGCCTGCAGCCTGCCTGCTGCCTGCCTATTGCTTGCTGCCTGCTGCCGCCTGCCTGCTGCCTGCCAGCTGCTAGCCTGCTGCTTGCTGCCTGCTGCCGCCTGCCTGCTTGCTGCCAGCTGCCAGCCTGCTGCCTGCCAGCTGCCAGCCTGCTGCTTGCTGCCTGCTGCCGCCTGCCTGCTTACTGCCTGTTGCCGCCTGCTGCCGCCTGCCTGCCGCCTGCCTGCCTGCCTGCAGCCTGCCTGCTGCCTGCCTACTGCTTGCTGCCTGCTGCCGCCTGCCTACTGCCTGCCAGCTGCCAGCCTGCTGCTTGCTGCCTGCTGCCGCCTGCCTGCTTGCTGCCAGCTGCCAGCCTGCTGCTTGCTGCCTGCTGCCGCCTGCCTGCTTGCTGCCTGCTGCCGCCTACCTGCCAATATGGCGACGCCTAACGTTCTAGCGTTCGAGCCCGACGGTCGTCCCATCGAGTTCCCTGTGTGGTTAGACGATCTCCAGCTGTTCCTTCTGACTGATGCCAAAGAGGGCGTTTCCCTGTTTGATTACGTCTCTGGCACTGCTGTTACTCCTGCTGCTGATGCTCCTGCTCTAGAACGTTCCCAGTGGCAGACTCGTGATGCTGCTGCACGCCTAGCTATTAGGAACCACCTGCCGATTACTGAGCGAGCGCATTTCAGCCATCACAGAACTGCTAAGACACTGTACGACGCTGTAGTTGCGCGCTACTCCTCCCCGGCCACTGCAGCGATAGGTCGACTCATGCTACCGTACCTGTTCCCCGATCTTTCCTCGTTCACCACTGCTGAGGACCTAGTTTCTCACCTGCGCGCTACTGACTCTCACTTTCGTGCCGCCCTTTCAGCCGAGTTTTGCGCCGCAAACCCCCCCCCCCCCCCCGATGTACTTCACTCTCTATTTCCTCGTCACCCGCCTCCCTGACACTCTTAGCTCTGTCAGGGACCACTTCCTAGCGCTAGACCCCACCACTCTCACTGTCGACGACTTCGAGAAGCACCTCCTCGCAGCAGAAGAACATCCTCGCTGTAGGTGCTGCTCGTGCACTCCTCGCTCTCCCCTCTTTGAGGGGTGCTCCCCCTCCCCTCTCACCCCCTCCTACGCCTCCGCAGCTGCTGCTCACGACTACCTTGGTGCTGAGGGGGTCAGAGCTGCTTCCGCTCCTAGTGGGAAGCGTCGCAGCGGCAGGGCCGGCAGGGGTGGCAGGGGCGGTGGGGGTGGCGGTGGAGGTGGCGGTGGTGCAGGCGGCGGGGGAGGTGGAGGTGGTGGGGGTGGTCGTGGGGGTGGAGGCGGTGGAGGTGGTGGTGGGGGCGGCGGAGGCACTGGGAGCGGTGGAGGGGGCAGCAGCGGCGGTGGGGGAGGAGGGAGCGGTAGTGGCATTGGTGGTCAGGGCCAGCAGCAGCCGCAGCAGCAGCAGCAGCAGCAGCAGCATCAGCGTCAGCGCCAGACCCCCACTTCCCAGCAGCTTCTTGACTGGTATGCCGGGCGTGGGGCTTCTGGGGGTCCTGGTCGCTGCCCCTATATCATCCGCACAGGTCCCCGCGCTGGTCGCCAGTGCACAGGTTTTCACACTGAGCAGCGCTGCTTCGCTCGGCTTAGCGACGCCTGGCGCGCCAAGTTTCCTGATGCTACTGAGTTCCCCAACTGGGCAGACTTGCTTAGGCGTGATGTACCTATCTTTGATCTTGACTATGAGGCAATTCTTGCTGCTATGTATGCCTTGTCTGTTAGTGCTGAGGGTGACTGCTACTTGTGTGTGCCACCGGATCCTGGTATAGCCCCTGGTATAGCCCCTGCAGCACTAGGTGCTTGTGAGTCTGCTCCCCTTAGTACTGCGCTTGCACAGGCTTTGCACACATTTACACTTGACTCTGGTGCTTCCCGCTGTTTCTTTCGCGACAGTACCACAGTCACTCCCCTCCCTGCACCTGTTCCTGTCTCACTGGCTGACCCCTCTGGGGGCCCAGTGCTTGCACAATCTTCCACTGTGCTTCCGTGTCCGGCGGTCCCGTCTGGTGAGCTGTCTGGTCTCCACCTCCCCTCGTTCTCTACGAACTTGGTGAGTAACGCTGTCCTCCAGGATGCGGGGGTTGACACCTTCACCCCTGGCCGGCAGCGTGTGGCGATTTGCACGTGCTCCCAGACTGGTCGCCACTTGGCCACGTTCGCTCGTGCGCCAGGGTCCAGTCTCTACACCCTCACCACTGCGTCACGCTCCACCCCTTTGTCTCCCCAGTTGCACGCGTCTGCTCAGGTAGCTACACAGTGTGAGTGTCGCCGGCTGTCGCACGACACTCTCCTGTGGCACCACCGCCTTGGTCACCCCTCCCTGCCTCGCCTACGCAGCATGCACTCCCGCTTCCTGGTTTCTGGGCTTCCCAAGTCTCTGCCTCCCCTCCCTCCCTCGCCTGCGCCGCCCTGCATTCCCTGCGTCGAGGGGCGGCAGCGCGCCGCTC